CCCTCTCACCCTTTTTTCCCCCAATAAACCTCCTTCCCTCTGAGTGCAGCATTTGGGTCCTCTCTGTCCACACACCACACCCCGTAACAGAACGATCAAGCCACGCATGGACCCAGCTCACTCACCCTCCCCCCTCTCCACCGACTCCTTGGAATTTGAGTCCTGGCTCCGGGACTTCCTCAAGCTCAAAGAGCTGTGGAAGGAGCCATAAATGACGGCCTGAAGAAGGCTTTCCGCGCCAGGGCCCAACAGCTGCTGTGGGCTGAGCCTCGCCTGAGGGATTTCATCCCACCATGGGATGCCAGCTTCCTCCACGCCCTGGCCCTTCCCCCCGCCAAGGAGCCCCTAAGCGCGCCCCTGCCGGTGTCTGCATCTGGTCCGTTACCTCGGCCAGAGCTCGGAGACTGCTGGACCGGACCGGAGATGGGCCTGGCGGCCGTTAGCCCCTCCACAGAGGATCTCTGCCAGGTGAGGACCCTCGCGGACAGTCTTCCGGGGACTTAAGGGTGGAGGATTGGCACAAGAGGCTGGACGCGCTAGTCGGCTTCGAGAGGGCTCTGGGTCAACAACCGCGCCTACTGCGTACTCCAGGCATGGCTGAGCTGCTTTGGGAGGTGGGTCACCTCAAGGAAGCCCTGCGATCGGCCCTGAATTCCCCCGGTGCTCTTCTTGCTGGGCTTAGCATGCAACCCGCTGGTCCCCTGCCTGTCCCTCTAGCGGCGGGCGCCGCTAGCCTCCAGTCAGTCCCTCCTGATCCCCAGCTCACTAGCGCCGCTAGCCCCCAGCCTGGCCCAGTCCCTCAGCCGGCTAGCGCCGCTAGCCCCCAGCCTGGCCCTGATCCCCAGCCGTTTGCCCCGATCCCAGCCTGTCCCTCAGCCTGCTAGCGCCGCTAGCCCCCAGCCTGGCCCCCCCGATCCCCCCCTTAGGGCCACTGCTCCTCGTGTTCTGTTGGCGGACGGACCGGCTTCAGCCCCGCCGGTGGTCCGGCCGACCCCTGCTCCTCGTGTTCTGTTGGCGGACGGACCGGCTACAGCACCGCCGGTGGTCCGGCCGACCCCTGCTCCTCGTGTTCTGTTGGCGGACGGACCGGCTTCAGCCCCGCCGGTGGTCCGGCCGACCCCTGCTCCTCGTGTTCTGTTGGCGGACGGACCGGCTTCAGCCCCGCCGGTGATCCGGCCGACCCCTGCTCCTCGTGTTCTGTTGGCGGACGGACCGGCTTCAGCCCCGCCGGTGGTCCGGCCGACCCCTGCTCCTCGTGTTCTGTTGGCGGACGGACCGGCTTCAGCCCCGCCGGTGGTCCGGCCGACCCCTGCTCCTCGTGTTCTGTTGGCGGACGGACCGGCTTCAGCCCCGCCGGTGGTCCGGCCGACCCCTGCTCCTCGTGTTCTGTTGGCGGACGGACCGGCCTCAGCCCCGCCGGTGGTCCGGCCGACCCCTGTTCCTCGCACCGGGGCCCTCGGCCCAGCGGCCTCATCCCTGACTCCCCCCGCTGCTGTCGCGCTGCCAGCCCCACGCCCGGCTCCCCGGCCTCTGGAGAGGTCGTCTCGCCCCCTAGCCCGTCCCTCGGGCCGCCCGCCCGAACTCTCTGGCTTGTCTCGCCCGGCTCCCCGGCCTCTAGTGAGGTCGCCACGCCCGGCTCCCCGGCTGCCACGCCCGGCTCCCCGGCCTCAGGAGAGGTCGTCTCGCCCCCTAGCCCGTCCCTCGGGCCGCCCGCCCGAACTCTCTGGCTTGTCTCGCCTTGCTCCCCGGCCTCTGGAGAGGCCGCCACGCCCGGCTTCCCGGCCGCCACGCCCGGCTCCCCGGCCTCTGGTGAGGTCGCCACGCCCGGCTCCCTGCCCGGCTCCCCGGCCTCTGGTGAGGTCGCCACGCCCGGCTCCCTGCCCGGCTCCCCGGCCTCTGGAGAGGCCGCCACGCCCGGCTTCCCGGCCGCCACGCCCGGCTTCCCGGCCGCCACGCCCGGCTCCCCGGCCTCTGGTGAGGTCGCCACGCCCGGCTCCCCGGCCTCTGGAGGCCGCCACGCCCGGCTTCCCGGCCGCCACGCCCGCTCCCCGGCCTCTGGTGAGGTCGCCACGCCCGGCTCCCTGCCCGGCTCCCCGGCCTCTGGAGAGGCCGCCACGCCCGGCTTCCCGGCCGCCACGCCCGGCTCCCCGGCCTCTGGTGAGGCCGCCACGCCCGGCTCCCCGGCCTCTGGGGAGGTCGCCACGCCCGGCTCCCCGGCCTCTGGAGAGGTCGTCTCGCCCCCTAGCCCAGCCCTCGGGCCGCCCTCCAGACTCCCCTGGTCCGCCCTCGGGCCGCCCACCGAGCTCCCCTGGTCCGCCGGACCCTCCTGGCTCCCCTGGTCCGCCGGACCCTCCTGGCTCCCCTGGTCCGCCCTCGGGCCGCCCGCCGGACCCTCCTGGCTCCCCTGGTCCGCCCTCTGGCTCCCTGGTCCGCCCTCGGGCCGCCCGCCGGACCCCTCCTGGCTCCCCTGGTCCGCCCTCTGGCTCCCCTGGTCCGCCCTCGGGCCGCCCGCCGGACCCTCCTGGCTCCCCTGGTCCGCCCTCTGGCTCCCCTGGTCCGCCCTCTGGCTCCCCTGGTCCGCCCTCGGCCGCCCGCCGGACCCTCCTGGCTCCCCTGGTCCGCCCTCTGGCTCCCCTGGTCCGCCCTCGGGCCGCCCGCCGGACCCTCCTGGCTCCCCTGGTCCGCCGGACCCTCCTGGCTCCCCTGGTCCGCCCTCGGGCCGCCCGCCGGGCTCCCCTGGTCCGCCCTCGGGCCGCCCGCCGGACCCCCCTGGCCCGCCCTCGGGCCGCCCGCCGGACTCCCCTGGCTTCCCTGGTCCGCCCTCTGGCTCCCCTGGTCCGCCCTCGGGCCGCCCGCCCCTCCTGGCTCCCCTGGTCTGCCCTCGGGCTCCCCTGTCCCGCCGGACCCTCCTGGCTCCCCTGGTCTGCCCTCGGGCTCCCCTGTCCCGCCGGACCCTCCTGGCTCCCCTGGTCTGCCCTCGGGCTCCCCTGTCCCGCCGGACCCTCCTGGCTCTCCTGCTCTGCATTCGACTTGCCCCCTGAACTTCCTGGCTCCCCCTGTCCGCCCTCGGGCTGCCCGTCGGACCAACCCTGCTCCCCTGAACTTCCTGGCTCCCCCTGTCCGCCCTCGGGCTGCCCGTCGGACCAACCTGACCCCCCTGAACCCCTTGGTCCCTCTGTTTCGCCCTCGGGACGTCCGCCCGGACCCCTTGGTCCCTCTGTTCCGCCCTCGGGACGCCCGCCCGAACCCCTTGGTCCCTCTGTTCCGCCCTCGGGACGTCCGCCCGAACCCCTTGGTCCCTCTGTTCCGCCCTCGGGACGTCCGCCCGAACCCCTTGGTCCCTCTGTTCCGCCCTCAGGACGTCCGCCCGAACCCCTTGGTCCCCCTGTTCCGCCCGAACCCCTTGGCCCCTCTGTTCCGCCCTCGGGACGTCCGCCCGAACCCCTTGGCCCCTCTGTTCCGCCCTCGGGACGTCCGCCCGAACCCCTTGGCCCCTCTGTTCCGCCCTCGGGACGTCCGCCCGAACCCCTTGGTCCCTCTGTTCCGCCCTCGGGACGTCCGCCCGAACCCCTTGGTCCCTCTGTTCCGCCCTCGGGACGTCCGCCCGAACCCCTTGGTCCCTCTGTTCCGCCCTCGGGACGTCCGCCCGAACCCCTTGGTCCCTCTGTTCCGCCCTCGGGACGTCCGCCCGAACCCCTTGGTCCCTCTGTTCCGCCCTCGGGACGTCCGCCCGAACCCCTTGGTCCCTCTGTTCCGCCCTCGGGACGTCCGCCCGAACCCCCTGGTTCCCCAGCTCCGCCCTCTGGCGCCCCGTCTGGGCCCCCTGGTCCCCCAGCTCCGCCCTCTGGCACCCTGTCTGAACCCCCTGGTCCCCCAGCGCTACCCTCTGGCACCCTGTCTAGCCCTGAGTTTTCAGTTCTGCCCTGCCTGTTCCCCTAACTCTTCCCTGTCCTGAAGCCCTCCCTGAACTCCCAGTTTGGTTTTGGACCCTGGACCCCCGTCAGCCGGACCCCAGTACATCTTCCCCCCCGTGTTCACCTGCCAAACCCCCTGTCCTATAGGGGGGCCGCCGGGAGGCGTCCATTGAGGAGGGGGCCCTGTTGTGGTGGCAGCCCGGCTGACGGTGAGTGTCCTGGTTTTTTCTACTTTTTATCAGTTTTTCTGCTTTTTCCCTCGGTTTCCTGTTCTCTGCCCGCCTCTCTGTGTTTTCTCCCCCGTGTGCTCTCTCTCCCTCTGCTCCTGAGCCCAGCCAACTACCTGCACCTGCAACCCATCATCCACCTCGTCAGCCTGCCACACCTGCCAGTAATCAACCTCATCCCAGCCTGTATTTCAACCCCGGTTCTCCACACCATCCTTGCTTGATCGTCGTTGCTCCATACCTGGTGCCACTCCTGTGTTCAGGCTTCCTTGTTTCTTGTTTTTTCAAACTTACCCTGAGCCTTGTCATTGTCTCCCCCTAACCTTGTCTCTCTGTTTGTTTCCCTCCCAGGTACACTCACCCTCGTCCTCCGCTCGGCTGGGCTCATCCACTGGCCCACTCCCCTTCGGACCTCCCTCTCGGCGTCCTCCCTGTTCCCCTGCCTCTCCTCGCTTCCTCGGCCCGTGTTCCCCGGCTCCCTGGCCCCCTGTCTCCTTGGTTCCCCGTGCCAGTACTTCCCAGACGTCCTCCTCTCCCTCCACTCCAGTCCCTCTCACCCTTTTTTCCCCCAATAAACCTCCTTCCCTCTGAGTGCAGCATTTGGGTCCTCTCTGTCCACACACCACACCCCGTAACAGGAGTGAATAGTACAATATTTAGCAGAAGAAAAAAATCCAGCACAAATCCCTCAAATGTATATGGTTATAGCCAATTTTCACCAATATGCTTAACTGGCAATGACGGAGGGCATTGAAATCCGGTTAACAGGTTATTTTTCATACCTTTTCCTACTGTGACATGTCAACATGCCGTACCTGTCACACATGACTTATACTGTATATAAACATCAACACACAAATCCCAAAGTCAAATTGGACTTTAATAAAGGTTCATAATTATAACATTGATATAAATACATGACTCTGAACAAAATGAAACCCAAAACAAATAAATATACAAAACATACAAAAAAACATTAAAAGCATGTTTCTATTTCAGCTGCTGCCCTGGAGCCTCCATGGCATTAAAGCAGGAGTGTGTTTCCTGTGTTTTCTAGGGTTGAGAAGGAAAAGCCATTGTCCAGTTTTTGCTAGCGAGTGGCAACCGCTTCCAGTGAAAACATGGGTCTTTATTGTTGACTCCCCACAATGAAGGGAGGGGGTCAAAGGACACATAAGTAGGAGGGCAGTGACATGGCACTGACTGACTGTTCCTCCGATTTTTTAATTCTTCTCTCTCTCTCTCTCTCTCTCTTGTGTCTCTTTAACCCAGGACCCATCGATCAGACTGGGAGGAGTTTAGCTGAACAGACTCGCTCCTCTCCCCATCCTGATGCTGAAAAACACAGATATTAGAGATATTATTTAACAAATCTATTACTACACTACAAAGTTGCATGTTTAAAGTTGTGCCACTAAAGAAGTGTTGCCAGGTTGGTTGGTTTTCCACCCAATAGTTGGTCTGTGAGTCCACCACTTTGGTCCAGACTGAAATATTGCAACAACTATTGAATGGATTGGCGTGAAATATCATAAACATTTATGGTGCCCAGGGGATAAATCCTAATGACTTTGGTGATCTCCTGACTTTTCGTTTAGCGCCAAAATGCGGTTCACATTTCTGGTGTAAAGTGAAATGTCTCAATTACCGCTGGATGGAGTCCCCTTCAGGTTAATTTGTAAAAACTGTGATGATCCGCTGACTTTAAGCCACACCTCCCAACCAAATGGATGAAATTTGAAAAAATGTGTTTTATGTTTCCAATAAACTTGTTTCATGCATTTTCTACGATTAAGTTTTATTTTTTTTGATACCACTGCAACAACATGTCTTTTTCTTCCTAGATCAGTATCACTACAAAAACCAACAGCTTTAAGCTCTGAGACTTGGTGACTTGTTAAAACATAAGAAAGGAAAGGAGGATGACAACTGAATTGGCTAATAAAATCTGGGTGAATTTGAGTGAAAGTGAAGACGTGAAGTGAAGGACAGCATTATTGGAAAAGACGCATGCAGTCAAAAACATACCTTGTTAGCGATGGCTCGGAGTTTCCCCAGCAGGGAGGGTTTCTTGGTGTAAACCACATCGTCGTCAGGTTCCTCCCCTTCAGCCAGGGCACAGCTGTCTGCTGCTGGCAGCTCACACTCCTTGTTGGCAGACATCACCAGACGAGAGTACTTGTACTCCAGCCTGACCACAGACACACAGTCATCGTGAGACAACATATTATTTGGCATACGCATCATCCAGCGTGTAGGTGTTTGAAGGCAACAGTGTTTTAACTGGAAAAGCTGTTAGCTGATGTTTTATGATCATAGTGATTCTACCAGACATAAAGATAAATCTGAGGCGTTACACAAAAATTAAGGGGATAATGAAGAAAAAATTATTGTTTTAAATCTCACTTCTCACTTCTTTCCACTGTTTCATGATTTGTGAAAAACTTTCACTTATTCAGAGCTCTGAAATGCCTTCAAGTGACACAATCTAAGGAGAAAAAACATTTTGAGAAGAAATAACTATAAATAGACTTTGCTTCTTAAAGGTCACAATCAAAAGCCCAAGATTATATGACTAAAGTAAAAAACAACAAATAAAGTACAAACGGGACAATGTTCCTGATATTGTACTTGTGAATAAAAAGTGTGTGCTTCTTGAAAAAGTCTGTAAGTGACAAACAGCAGCTGACATCTCTTCCTTTAAATAACAATTCAAGGTGATCTTAATGAGTATGTTGGCCTTGGCTGAGATTGGTGGTAGTGTCTGATTGGCGGGTGCCTCTAACCTCTTGTTTTTCTTCCAGAAATAGCAGGTGAGAGAGATGAGCAGCACGGCCACGAAGGCTCCGCCACCGACCCCGACCTTCAGCCACAGAGCGATGGCCTCGCACGGAGAGGAGCTTCTAGGGGCAACGATACACCTTTGGTGCACAACTTTGGCTCGTTCCACACATACAGAGTTTCCTGGAGAGAGTCGAGTGGGACAGATGGAGAATTTCAAGCAGAGATTTGGTTTCATAAATCAAGCGTGTGTATTATGTTTTATTTCTGAGGTTTGTAGGTCTGAAGGGGAAGCACTAGGAAGATTTACAAGATTAAAGTACCATTTGGGTTTAGGATTAAATTCAGTGTTAATTTGGCATCAGATTAGTTTTAGTCCTGACAAATATCACTCTTAATTTAGTTTTAAATATGAAAATACAACTTATTAACACAAGCTGACTAACCACATTTCGGCACAGGGCCTTCATGAATGTGATTTACTAATTTCATCTAGTTTTGCTCAATGAAACAACAATTTACTTGAATAAATAATAATTCTTATGCAGTTTAGTCTCATTTCAATCATGCAGTTTTGATTATTAAATTAAATCTTTAGAGTGCTTTCATGAAGCACACACAGGGCTTTTGTTGTGATTTCATCAGAGGGAGTTATAATAATAGTCTAACCTGAGGGTTTGATGGCTGTTTATTGAATCTGAATCTATCTGCACATTGAACCAGAACCAGAAACCATAATCCTTTATCAAAACCCTTATCAAATCTGTTCAGGCTATTCCTTAAATAATTTATATACTGTAATTATATATTTGCTATTTAGCCAAAGTGAGTTCCTGGATGGTTTACACATTGTGCTTTAATAATATAAAATGAGCATGGAGATTTGACAAAGACTTGAAATTCCATAGACTTTTATTTTTGTCAGACAGCATCAGAGATGTGATGTGTGTGTGTTACCTGGATGCCTCTTTTGCACGCTCCCTCTATCTGGTGGTAGTCGTCCTCGGCGCAGCGCGGACAGGCACTGGCGCTCTCCCACAGGAAGTGAAACGTACATCCATCACATGTTCCTGCAGGACACGAGCTGCACAAACACACACAGATAACACATTTTCTTACATAATCTATTTTCTTATGTTTCTGGTATGGCATATAGTATTTTCCTCTTTCATACAATGCATTTTAATATCAAACATTCTTTGTCACATTATATTGTACTTAGGGTTAAGGTCCAAGCCTGTATAGGTGCGAAACCCAGTTATATTTTCATTTTTATTATATAATTAGTGTCATGTTCACACTAAACAAAGCAACTCTTACAGTACATGTTTGTAAAAAAATAAAACAACATTTTTGGTAGAAATTAAAACTCAGAGCACATTATCACCTACCTGGGCACAGAGAGTTCTCCTCGTTCAGACTTCTCGGGGTTACAGCGAACAGTGATGACTGAGCTGCGACCCTGATCACATGAGGCCGTTGCCTGCGTTGACCTGAAAGAAAACAAGGACACAGTTAAGACAACCAAAACATTACAACACACGCTCTGCCTCTGTCTGTCACACTGTACCTGTAGAAAAAGTTGATGTCTGGTACATCCTTTGAATTTTCAGGAAAAAGATCTGGTTTAGCGTTCACGCCATCCAGGACGGTATCTACTGTTGCTCCTGAAAAGAGACATCAAAGATATCAAAGCCAACATTACCAGCTAATGATCAGAGAGCTACATACTGCCATTTAACCCGAGTCACACCGATGAAAGTGTCTGCAAGGCTGATGGACTGTGAGGAAATGGCCATCCTGAAGCCCCGCCCATCTGCTGGGATGATGGTTGATTGACAGATGAAGCTGTCGACTGAGTTGACAAACTGAGCCATGTCGCTTTGGTCGTCCACGCTGGACACGTCGGTGACGTTATCTGTACAGATAGCAGCTCTCTTCCCCTTTAGCAAGACACGTACAACAGCATAATAATTATCTCTCAGTTGGTATGGTTACGCTTGATGTTTACCTGCAGCTTTTTTAACATACCTACATGTGAAAAAATGTGATTAATTTTCACATTGTGGATAAATCTTCAAAACAAGATGTGTAAATTTAAAACAGCTTGTATTGTCTGGTGGAAATACAATAACAATACACAATGTTTGTAAAGAGCTATTGAAGGAAAGTTAGTTAATGCTGAGAAAAATGTAAATAAATCAACATACAAGAGGCTCAAAACTCATTTCCATTCAAAATATAATATAACCAAGATAAATAATACATCCAACATTAAAAATCACCCCTCGTTCACCATACGTTTAATGGTTTAGGGGTTTAAAATTTAGTGTTGCTTTCATACAATACACCTAACAATGAGTACACAAACTAAAATTAAAATCACCAGTTAAAGGAGTTTAAAATTAGCACAAGATCTGAAGGATATTTTTTTTTATAAAGAATGAGAGTGATACCAAAAAGGATACTAACAGATCCATAAAACTGTACTGACACAGTAACTAATACATGACGACTTCAGGTATGTGTGAATTACCTCGTGTCCACACAGGCTAATGTTGAACAGGTGAAGGTACTTTGTGCCTTTAGAGGTGAAACTCGGCCCGATGGTCATCGAGGCCACATCACTCAGGGGGCTGAGGTCAAAGGTCAGCGTACGGTTGTTCTCTGTGTGGGAGAAGAAGCAGTCGCTGTAGCACCGAGAGTGTTCCTGAAAGAAAAGCAAATACATGAACTCTCAACATGTAACATATTAGATGGACTATGTACAACTATATTATAATTAATGATAAATACAATAATAAATGTTATGTAGTTGTTAAATTATTGATTTGCAATATCACATATTTAGAGCAAGAATGTATTAAATAAACACCTCTGGAGCAACTAGAGGTTAAGTGTCTTGCTCAGGGACACATTGGTGGATGTGTTGCAGTGGGGGTTCTCAGTTAACAGCGTTTTTTGTTCCTAGAAACATCTTTCATGTCCTCTGTAATAATTGTCTAAACACTACAGAGGATTAGCACTTCAAACCGGATTTTTATAAACCTTATCTGGCCCCTGATACCACATTTTAATCCCAAAATATTTATACCCTGAGCAAAGGGGCAGAAGTCCAAATGGTTCATACAGAAATTTCAATTTCAATACAAAAAGAAAAAAAAACAAAGCTAATATATTGACATAAGTAGTCTTTTGTGGCCCCTCGAGGACTCAAGGTTGAGAAACTGTAGCTTAAAGATCACCACTTATTGATAAAAACCCAGAGTAGGACTGGGTATCAAACATCAATCCTTTTTGGTATCAACCAAAACATCAGATTCGTAATTTGCTTACTTATACTTGGATCAAATACTTCCTGATTTAAATTAAAATGTTGCTAATTTTAGACTTTATTTTGGGAGGCATTTTTTTTGTGTGGCTCTATTTAGTAAAAAAAAACATTTATATTATAGCACGGTGGTAGTGTTTTGGTATCGGTACCAAACCTCGTGTATCATATTAGTACTAGTATCAAAAAATCAAATGATACCCTGTCCTAAGCCAGAGGAGGTTACTCTACCTTATTGCTTACACTTCCAGGACCACAGGCGACACACGCGTCCTGGCCGTAGGTGTGGCGCCCTGCCAGGTGTGTGTTGGGCGGGCACTCCTGGCACCGGTTGGTGTCTCTGTCGATGTAAAAACCAGCAGGGCAGGGAACACAGGAGGAGCTGGCCCGCTGGGAGTTCTGGGGTACCAGAGCGCAGGCCCGACATGCTGATGCCACCCCATCCAGGACGTTAGTCACGCTGATGGAGTACAGCTTCACCATGTCACTGACATAACGACGCATCTACAAACACATACAGGGCAAGCAGAGACACATACGTTAAGGTATAAATATGTTCTTGATATTTACTGAAAGTGAATTTATTGTCACATTTTTCACTTCCTCGAACTAGTAGTAATGCTAGTGATGATTTGCCACATTCATTCTTCAAAAGCTCATTTTGCTCATACATTTAATATGTATGCCTTAATTAAATTACACAATGAGACATAAATTGATATACCTCTTTTAATTTGATTCTTTATTTATTCACATTTGTATTAATTACCTTATTATTGTCATTTATAATTAATTTTATTTATTTTCATAATTTTATTTATTAATTACTTTTATAAGTGTATTCATTTCTGTTTGTTTATTTAATTTATTTATGCCTACAATTTTTTATGTATTTTTGGTGCATTTGTGCATTTTATTTTAAATTTCTGTACTCATTTTCGATTGTGACATAAGAAGCTATCTTGTGCGCACAAGATACTATTTTGTACACATGAGAAAGTATGTGATGCTCAGGACATATTAATACTGAGAATGATGTGCACAGGCATTGAATAATGGGGAATAAGGTACTTTGTATGTTACTTACGTCCAGAGCATGGTTAGTCCTCTGGAAAGCCCATGTATACGTGACAGAGGCGTTCCTGGTCATGCTGTGCGAGTACGACTGTTTCCCCTTACTGCCTTCCCAGGACTCCACCACTGTGGTGCTCTTTCTGTTCACATCCTGAAGAGGGCGTCACAGTAAAACAGTTAGATGGGAAAATATGTGTTTGATTACTGACCAGTAATATGCAGAATACGGTAATAAGTGGCACCACAGTGAGACAAGTAACTGTTCTGGCTTGCTGGTAAAGTTAGTCACATTTTTACTACCTTCTGTTACATTAACACACACAAACAAGCACACACCATCATGAAGTAGAGCTCACAATCAGCAGAGCAGATGGTCTCAAACACAAAGCTTATCTGGCCAAACTCACTACCGGTCATCCCTGAAAGTGAGGCTGGGACCCTGCCACAAAAACACAAACATGGGCAGAGATTTAGTTTTAACTTGATCCTACAAACATCTCGTTCACAAAAAATATGTTTATTATCTGAATCTTTCAAGACGAGATGATAAGATCGCTTTATTTAATCCTTCTGTGGTGACCAAACTTGGATAGATACACCAAAATCTCACACAGAAAACAACCACATGTCCCTACACAGCTACTTACTTGAAGCCAGGCACATGCAGGCTGAGGATGAGATAGTCATTGTCTGAACTACCTGCTCCACTGCGAATGTGGTCCCCTGCAACCTCCCAGCCTGATGAACAACAGACATGATGCACTCACATTACACCTCATTAATTCTGGATTACAGATCAGTGCATGTTATTTTATTACAATATCCAGAATTGGCTTGGATGGAAGCGGATGGATCGGGCAACAAGTGCTTTTACTGCTTTTACTGTCAGTGGAGATTTCAGCATCATTTATATAGTATTGAGCAAAACAATGTCACCACTAATCTATTGTACATTTATTTGCTGTTCTGGAGCTTTCAGTCATATCACATCTTCATCACCAGATGGAGGTTTGGTGGTGTGGTGGTTTAGAGGTTTGAGAGGTCCTTAAATGTCTCAGACAACAAGAACATTTGAGTATCTACGTTTCCTTGAGTGGGTAAAATCCATTTACTTATAAGGTGTGATATGATTGAAAGCTCCAGAAAATATTCCTATTTCCAAGGGCAATAATTAACTTTGACCACATGGTGAGTACATTTTAGATAATTAGTAATTAGACATTACTTACTCAGTTGGGCGTTGTTAGTTAGTAGGAATAAGTAGGTAATTAATAGGTAGTCAATTACATAGTTAGTTAGAAGATACCAGTTAACAGTCATAAGGTAGTTAGTAGTAAATAAGTAATTTAGTAGTTAGTTTAAGTTAATAGATAATTAATATGTAGTTTAGAGTTAGTTAGTTGTTAATAGTTTGTTAGTTAGAACTTAGATAGAAGGTAAGTAATTAGTTACTTATAATGTAGATAAGGTAATTAGTTGTTATTAATTAGCACGTAGAGTAGATAGTGGGTAGTTAGTTAGAACAAGACAATTGAGTATAGACATAATAAACAATAGATGAAAAACATAGCTTTAAAATGCATAGGTGCAGTAAATCATGTTTAATCTGTAGATCCCTTATATCTGCAGTATATATCCTGTCCCCTAAAATGCTCAAATACAGAACATTTTGGCACTGGATAAGTACCTCCAGCTTTCTGCACTGTTACACCCTCCACTGACCAAGAAACACGTCAGGGTCAGGTAGGTATATTGTATGCATGTACACAGTATGTATGGATATACATGGAGGTTTTTAAATGTGTTTCTCCAGGTGGATATACTGTATGGATAGACACAATGTTCTTCCTTGGGGACAATAAAGTCATATTTCACAAATTTGATGCTAATTGGACTGTAAATTATTTTGTGAGGAGAGAATATTTCCGTCGTTACTCAGTAATACAGGTGTTGTTGTGCTCACCATTCATGTCGTCACATTTGGAGTTGCCCACGTTGAAACAGGAAGTCTTCATATTGGAAGGCAACACATTCCACCATTTATACTGGTAACCTAACACTGGCTCTGTACCTGCAGGGCACTCAGTGCACTCTGGTACAGACACACACACACCCACACCCAGAAAAGCTTAATTTAGATACAACAATGACATTTTTCTCTTTGGTAAAACATTATGTTTGTACAAGCACCATCCATTCAGGAGTGCATTAAAAAAGGGTCGCCTCTTTTAAACAAATTTCATTCAGACAGCGCAGATCATGTGCCCAGATGGAAAGGCTTTATTACTACTATTAATTCAATTGATACAGTACATACAGTATTTGCTATATATATATATTTATATATATATAAATAATTAAAAAACTGATATTGAGGCATCCGTCTCCTATATGTGAATGTGTAGAACTGTGTGAGCATGAAGCAATGGACAGACTGTTTGGTTGACTTTCCCTATATAAATACAGATTAAGGCTTGGTACCAATACATGCCAGGTGTGGACAGGTGCGTGCAGGTTTACCGTAGGTGCCGTCTGAGTGGGTTCCAGGTGGGCAGGGTAAACAGGTGGAGTCAATGCTGTTGTAGTAGCCGGGGTTGCACGGAGGGCATGGCTCTCTCTGCCCAGTTGCAGGCAGCTCCACGGCCCCTGTGACGTTCTCCACACAGATTTTTGGCTCCACCCAACGATATAACACTTGCGTCTGTAACAAAAAGCCATAGAGCTTATGATCAGGGGTGGAGAGTGGTCTGTAAGTGTTTTACTCTAATAGAGGGGGAAAAAAATAAATGTACAGTACCTGGAGTAATAGAGATTGAGACACATAAAAATGGACAATAAAGCTTCAAAGATTCAAAAGCAAACCACACCATCAATAATAGAGGGATGTGTTTCTTTTCTGTTCTTTAACAATCATCACTCTTACTCAGCACACTCAGAGATGTAAATTAAAACAGGCCAAGGTCATGGATTAGTGCCAAGAAAATTTATTTAGGATCAGATGGCGTGCCAACCGCTTACTAAGCTATTCATCATTTTCTTTCTCATCATATTGTGTGACTTGTCTTGTTTCTAACACAATGCCCTGAGAGAGACGACAAAATGTCTGTTTATAATAAATTTAAATGTAATGTAGTAAAAAAGGCAGCTTTGTCGTGCTGTAAGAATAAGAAGTCGGTAAAGGATAAATTAAAACAACATAATTTATTATATATTATTTTATTAAAACTATTAGACCAAATGAAAGATAAACAGGAATTTTCATGCTGATCATGTATTAAATATAAAACCAATCATGGGTGTTAGTGGTTGTCTTGTATTTATGTAGTCAATGTTCCAAATTGCCTAATTTCATTTGGATTATTTTGCATTAATTGGGTATATTAACATAGAAATTCAAACTAAAAACTATTAATTGTCACCTAATATTTCACAACTTACGAAATACAAACTTAAAACGCTCTGTTAAATTGTCTTTGTAGGTTTACCTAAACTTACATTTGTAAGTACGTGTGTCTGTCCTTGCATAGTAAAAAGGTCAGGATGTATGTGAAATGTGAAATGTGTGGATGCTGCTGACCTTTCCTTCGCTGTCGCAGGCTGTGTGGATCTGGAAGTAATCCTTCTCTGAGCATGGCGGCCTCGCCTTACATTCAGCCCATCCCTCATCTGAGAGAGGAGCCGAAAACAGAGGAGAAGGAGACGTGATGATCGGCTCACAGGGATGCATAGAAAACATGCGCAACCAGAGTGTGATGCAGGGTAAATCCCATTTACTAGCCTTTTACTCTACAGAAGAAAATGAAGCTTCACAACTCTTTTTGATCTTTTTTCTCAACTTTAACATTTCATACAGCAATACCAGCAGAACAATTAACTTATCAAAGATGTAATGCTCCGTACTTGTATAGCGCCTTTCTAGTCTTTTCGACCACTCAAAGCGCTTTTACACTACATCATGTAGATGTATGGGTATCATCATGTATGTGTTGGCAGATATGCACATACAAATTTCAGAATGTAAAGGTGTTATCTTTTAATTCATTCGTTATTAGTTTTTACTCATTTACAATGAGTTCATTTCCAGTTAAGTTTACTGTACTACTTTTCCTATCATGTTATATTTACGTGTTACAGTTGTAAATATTTTAGTTATTCTTTTTTATTCTTCCTTTAAGGTTACTTTTAATTCTTTGTTCTATTTTATTGATTAAATATATTCTAATTTAAAATATTTCAATATTTGACTCTACATTTTCAGTGGGTGTAGCATCGGGGGGAACTACATCTGTATTTCAATGTGCAATCCTGTACTGTATAATGACAATAAATCTGAACCTTGACCTTTACTTAATGTAATAATTTCATAGTAAACACCATTATTCAATTATTAAACAACCTCCCATGATACATATATTTCACAAACCTTTAATAAGCAAATTTGATAGCTTATATAAAATGTGATAAGTGAGTCTTTTTGTGATATTTCTTACTTTCAAATGTTAGCATGATATTGGCCTTACAAAGACCAAATCACACAAGCTTTTAAGTTACCTAGTCACTAGGTATTCCATAATTTTCTTTATAATTTCTCACTGGATGTAATTTAGCCAAGAACAGAAACCTCATAAGAGTGCACTTCTTGTGACAACTAGTTTGAGGGTTTAATGACACATACTGTAGTTGCATGCTGTTGTATGTGTACATACGTGAGTAGTGGTGTTCAGGGCAGCGTGTACAGGAGGACGCGTCCTTTATGGAGAAGGTGTTGCTGGGACAGGGCTGACAGGATGGAGCCGGGGTCTGAACTGAACCAGCCGGGCCGGCATGGAAAACACTCTGATGTGTAGGCTACACCTGTGTTGACATGCAGCACAACACGCGGCCCTCCAATTATTACATGCATCACAATGTAAAAACAGTAAGTTCATAATGCTTTGTTGTGTGCTTGAGTTCTGCTTTACCCTCTATTTGGATGTTCTTGAGCAGCACAGGTTTGACCATCTTTCCTCCTCCCAGGATACCAGTTTTCTCCAATACAGGATGTTCGTACCTGACTTCAGATTCACCTAAAAACAAAAAAGAACAAGGTGAAGAATGCACAAATAAAAAATAAGAATAAAACAAAGCACAATAATGTCCCTGCTGACACAAGCTGAATCAGATACTCACTGTGTGTGTCCCATTCTCCATTTTTAGTGACTTTAATCCACTTCTGGTCATCAGTCTGGGCC